CGGGGGGTGATGGAGGTCCCGCTGAAGAGAGTGTTGAGGAGGGCGAGAGTAAATCCCGATTTTTTCGCGCCAACTCATCGGTAGAGTAGGATAGATTGGAACCGCCCTGATCACTGAGTGGAGGCGGTCGACAGAGCACGAGGTGAACACGAGTTCCTGCGTTGCGGAGCATACGCACCGCCTCCTCGTGGGTCGCTGTCCCCAGATCCATACCGTTAACCTGCGCGAAGTAAGCAGATCGGGGGGAGGGGCTAATGGTTGCACTTATAGTCCGCACGCGCAATGCCTTAATTTCGCTATATCTATATTTTAAGTAGAACCACTTATGAAAAACTCTCGCGGCCTCGGCGGGAGCCAAACCCACACAGCAGGGAAGGCTTTTGCTCAGCCGGCGCTCTACCACTGAGCTACGAGGCTCACCGTGAGCCGGGAATTTAATCACACTTGGATGGATTTTACTCGCACAACCTACTGATCGTATGGAGTCCACTATACAGCAAGCTGACTGCCCAAGCAGGATTTTTTACACACATTCGTACCTGTGAAGTATGGAGGAGGAAACGAAGTTCTTACTTCGGACTCTATGAGACGTCCACAGTTTTGCCCCTTATGAGGAGAAGGCACGAAACTAAGTAAACAGATGACGAAAATCTGGGGTTCGGTTCCCGCAATCCATTGACTGTGCCCTGTGAATTGAGTTAAGGCATTGTCGCAGATTGTTTTGACGTCTGTGGTCAGCGCAAACTTCTTAAGGTATGGTTTAAATGTTGTCCATATCAATTTTCGGACTAAACTTGTAGACCTTTGAATATGTTGGTCTAATCTGGGATAGAAACTAATTTCTAAGCAAGTTAAAAAGCTGAAATGTTTAAATTGCGAAGACTGATACTGACTGAAATTTATGTTCTGTAATTATTTTTCCGTTGAGTCATGATCGTTAAAATAAGCCGTGTAGTTAATATAAGCTTAAACTAAAGTGCGGCGAGTATCTCTTATCATGCTACAATAAATGGTGGTAGGATTTTAAGTATGGTTGGAAATGAATTCGTTGGAAAACATGTCACCTACCTGAAATAGACGATCCCCAGGTTGGATCTGTCCATTCGCCGCTGCCAGGCCTCCCGGGCTGATTCTGGTTACAAATATACCCTCGTAGGCAGACTGATCATTGACGTCATGGCCACCGGCGATGCTGAAACCGAGTCCCATGTCCTCTGAGGGTTTCACAAGGTCAACCTTCCAAAAATAGACGTTTTAATGCTCAGCAGTTATAATTTGAAAAGGATACGCTCAAAATTTCAAAGGTTGAATGTAGGTCCGGTAGTTGAAAAGTATTCTTTAAAAAAACATGGAATGAATATATGTATATA